CTTGCCATGCAACAATAAAACGGAAAGGCCGATTACCCTAAACTCTCGTTGTGTTTTGTGCTTTAAGGAGTAGAGGACAATGATCTAAACCCACCCTATCAAGATGCAACACCATAGTACCTGAGAAAACATCCGCCCAACAACTATTCATAAGGCAGCGATCCAAACGTTTACAAAGATTGCCTCTTCTTCACGTAAACTTCGGCCCTCGATAATCTACTTCGAATAACCCCATCTCAAACACAAACGCTGCAAATAAGTTGCTAACTCATGATCCACGGCATGATCCTTCATCCCTTTCATCGAGACGAAGGATGGAGGTAAAATCACCACCCAAAACCCAAGCTTCATTCCCGCCTGGATCGAGATTAATAAGATGCTTCCATACTAACTTGTGTTTCTCCACTTGAGGACTCGCGTAAACTACAGTAAAATATAACCATCTATTAATAGCATCAGACCAGCATCTACTGTGAATAAACTGAGGCGAAATAGTTAATATTTCAACATTTAACTCAGCTTTCCAAATGAGCCAAATACCACCACTAAAACCAAGAGCTTCAACTCTAAAAGAATTCTGAAAACCGAAAGTCCGAATAGCATTCTCGGTAACATTACCACTAATCCGAGTTTCAAGTAACGCAACAATTCCGGGTCGATGTTCCCGAAGATAACGTCTGAAAGATGGGCTATCAGCGCCCTGACAATTCCAAAAGAGAATATTAACCATAAAATAAATAAAATTCAAGAGCGCACCCTTACTGGGGTAGATTCGGGTTAGCATTCTCTCCATCCGGTATTATAACCTCCTCTGTAACTGCTTCAACGCTTCCACTACAGGCCGATTTCCTTCCTCTCTTCCATTCTCACGCACGGAAAATAACCCTCACCATGCATTATAATGCTATCAAGATGTGTGTTGAATTTTTATTCCGCAACCAATCTGTAAAACCTGTCGATGAGAGTTTAAAATCTTTATTTTTCTTCTTCACTTTCAGTCCTTTAGAACTATCCCCAACCTCACGTTTATTTCTTTATTCCGAATATTTTTGCTTGCGACATGAAGCCGACTATCCTCCAAAATGGTGACCGCCGAATGATTACCCACAGCTCTAACATTGCCATGTTCCGTCACTTGAGGAATATCCTCGTCCTTCATGGCTATCACATTAATCTGTTGTAACGTTTGAATTGCTTCAGTTTTTCCGGATCGACCTGGATAACCCAGCCTACTAGCACCAGACTCCATTAACCCATTGCTTGGCCTTTCCTTATCTACCTGCTGTAATGTTCGAATTTCCTTAGTTTTTTTCGTCGGACGAGTACTTTTTCCTTTTACTCGTGAGTCTATACGAGAGGTGTTTGCCAGACCTTTCTCCATGTTGGTAACATCCACTGCAACCTCCGGAATTACCGTGGAATCTTCATCAATGCCATTATTTCCCTCACCTAGAATTGCAAATCGAGAGCCCCTCGTATCATCACCACTTATTTTCATATTCAGATCAGATTTTTCTTCGTACGCCTTCTACGCGTTTCAGTGATCATCCATGGTCCAAATCCCGACTCCTCACAACCTAAACCTTTATCCAAGTCAAAACTTGAACCATGGCGCTCCTCCCTTACTAGTATTCACTTCAATAGAGCCACAAACATCTTTCGAATGCCCATATACTCCACATTGGAAACATATTTGTTGTAGTCCTTCATACTCAACCTTTTGCCAGACCCCGTCAATCTTTAGGTATGGAATTAATGGTTTATTAAGATTCACCAACACCGCCAAACGAGCAAAACGACCTCTCTCTCCCGAATTTGTACTATAGTCGATCTTCACCACCTGACCAATAACCATAGCAATACGACGAAAAATCGCCTTTGAATAATAACTGTAAGGAAGCCCCGAAAATCTAACCTAGACGATTACCTGCGATGGATGTTTTTATGATGTGGTGAATGTACGACTCCATGGTTGAACCGTTAGATAGCATCCGAAAATCATCCACGGCCCTTCCATCAAGACATGAATATAACCCTGTTCACTTTCAAACTTCACTAGGAAATAATCATTCTCTAAATCGATGACTTGGTACTGTCCTTGGAGCTGCCATAATAAACCAATCTGATTCAACAACGTCTTAAAACCAATGGCACGTCATAGGAGCCGGACTATCACCGAGCGCCTCATGCTATAGTCAATTCTGTCATGAACTTGATCAGCGAATTGAATCACAGGATACTGAACATTGATATCCACGATACATTCACCATCCAGAACCACTACCTCATCCATAGCCTGAAGTGAAACCACGTCCGTCGTTTGCTTCAATTGACTCGTGACAGCACTGGCGTAAGATCGCTTCTCCTGTTGTCGAGTTCCCTCTCCAATGCTATTAACAACCTATTGCGTCTCCATACCACTCTGATCTTCCTCCATTCGATCAACATTCATCTCTTTATTACGAACTTTTTTAGTAACACGCTGATCCTCGTCGGGGAAAGGGGAACCCGGTCTCTCCAAAGGTAGAGATGATAGCACTTCAATCCCATGTTGATTTCCAGCGAGGTTACTGCCGATCGGAGGAGGAGCCGGGGGAACAAAGACAGGCGGCGGTGGATTGCAGTACTCCCGTAAGGGAGGGGCACTATTTTCGCAAGGGTTTTCCATTAATTAAAATAGATTTGGAAAATTACGATTTGGTATAAATACAAATCAATTGGCCCATGACTCATACAGTCATATTTGAATAGTTTCAGGTTGTAACATTTCTTCGCTGTTACATGAAAGCTTGAGTTCCAAGTTTGGAAAATTATAACATAGTCTACAAATTTAGATCGTCGTGCTTAGAAAATAATAATAATAATATTTTTAATTTGATATCGAAACATATTTTTTAACATTAATCTCTCAATTTATAATTTTTTGTCATTTTAATGATTTAATGTCACACTCTCAAAATTTAAAATCATTAAAACAATAAAATTAGAAAAATTATCAAGTTTAGGACTATTGTGGATAAAATATATTTGGGACTAAATTAAAAATGTTATCAAATATAGAGACTAAAAAGCTACTTTTTCCTATTGTGGATAAAATATATTAATATTGCCGTTAGATAAGTACCTCGTTATTAGGTCATGAGTGTTGAATTGAAAGCATATTATATGTACGGGTATGACTATTTTGTGACTGTACTCATATTTTCAGATTCGAATAAGACATATTATATTAAATTTATTATATCCAAACAAACAAAGAAATCAAAATTTACTTTTAAAAGTTCAACACTTAAACCTCATTATAACTAACAATTTCATTTCATACAAGACATCATTAAAAAAATCAACAAACCAATACTTAACTAAATAAACTAATCAAATTTGTCTTCACACGAAAATAAACAATGGATTCACCTTAATTTGATCCTCTATTTTTTATTGGGTACCACACTTATTATAATGGTTTTAATTTAATTATTAACTTTTTTTTAATCATATTCGATGTTACGTTTTTATTTTTATTTTAGTATCCCATCATTAAGTATGGTGTTAACTTAATGAAAATGATGATGTGGTATAATATAATAACTATTGTACTCTCAGAACTTATACATTCTATCATATTGTTCATAATTTGAAACAATTTAATAAATCTTCTATAATTTAAAGATATTGATTAATTAATAAATTATTAAAAATAAAAAAATGAAATTAAACTAAGAACCAAATTAATTGAAATTTTAAATACTAAAAGTATATTGAATTAAGAATAATTTGATAGAATGCATAAGTTTTAGGGACTAAATTCTTATTATATCATGTCACACCATTTTGTTTAATCAATGATTAAAATTGACGACAAAGTATCAAATACAAATAAAATACAACATTGGATATAGTTTTAAATAAAACATAGTTAAATGACTAAAACAGAAAACAAATATAATTGAAACGACAAATAAATAACTTACCCTATATTTTATCAGCTTTGAAATATTTATAAACTCGTGAAAAAACCGGGAAATCAACAAATCTGTTCAAACTGAAAAAATAAAATCAAAATTAGTAAAAATCAAGAACAAAAGCCTAAGTACCATCCAATTCAAACACACCATCTACTTTTTGTTAAGTGGTTGCAAATGAAAAAGCTAACCCTAAAACATCAAACCATGAAATTGTAATGAAAGCACAGACAGATGAACAAACAAACACAACAAAGCCAAAGGGTTGAACAGCATGAGGAGTTGGTTTCCATAATAAATAAGCCAGCTCTTGTTGCTGTTCCATCCTGGGTTCCACAAACATGCACATCAACCCCCGACTGGGTTTTGTTTTGTCGTAAAATCTTGTTTTGTCTTTATTTTATTTATTTATTGATTATTTGTCATTATACCTTAGAAAGAAAAAAAGAAAACGCTTGATTGCCTCGTCTTCTTGTTTCTCCATTTATTTCCATAACATTTTTACCTTTCAGTGTGTTTCGTTTTGAAAGACTTGGACAGTTTCTCTTTGGTCGGAGTTTGTTGTTGAACATGCCGTGCTCTTTCTGTGGGATTTCACCGATGTTGTTTGGTCGGAAATTACCGGTCAAACTTCCCCTGGTAATTATTTGGATTTTCTTCCTTTCGTTTTCTTATTTGTACCCTGGTTTCTTTTATTTTCTTCGTAGTAGACTGCATGCAACTTTTTTGGGTCTAATTACTTTTAAGATCCTTCTTAGTTTTATAATTAAAAAAATTAAATCTTGGTCTGCATTTTTTCGGCTAAAATATTTCTTACTCGTTTTGAAGTTAGACAAATTAAATTCGAATCACTTTTTATTTATTTAAATTCTAATTAGACCGTTGTCAATTTTAAAATTAAAAATAATATATATTAATTTTATTTTATTATTATTTATGTTTGCCTCTGTTAAAATTACATCTCGAGTCTGTTTCGATAATTCATATTTCACAATTCACAAAAACTAAATGATTTGAAAGATTAATTAATCTAGAATGATGGGGTACGACCAGCATCCTCGATCCATCCTGACTAAGGGATGGCAAGGGTCTTTGTCACCTAAAATGGTAAAACTATTCTTCTTTGGTATAACTACTATTATTCGATTTATTTATCAACTAATCTAGATCAACGTAGAGAAGAAGATAATCCTTCCAATCCCAGTTTGCTTCATTTGTAAATGTTAGCATTTAAACTTTTGATATTGTTTAAGGGGTTTAGTGTCTCATCTCACTAAACGAACTGGTTATTGGTGGAATAATTATTCTTCAAATCTTAAAATTTATAAAATTATATGTTAATATATGATAAATATATATTTTAACCTTCCTAAAATGATGAACTGATGATTTAATCTTATAAAAGTTATAAAATTATAAGCCAATATAATTGTGAAATTATATTTTAACTTGAATAAAAAATTATAATTCAATTTCGTCCATACAAAAGAAATTTCTAACTTCGTTTCTGTCCGACTGGTAATATTATTTGTAACTTTGTGCAGGGACAAAACCCCCCTCAGCCTCAGGAAACAAAGGCACCCAAGAATCAAAAGGAACTAACGAAAGGTGCCAAGAAGGAGAATTCTTCATCTCAATCAACATGCAACTTCATTCTGATCATGGAGCTTAGGAAAAAAATCACAGCTTTCAGAGAATTATTTGATCTACCGCTTCCTAATACATCAGTTTCAATGGATCAGGTTTGTTTTTGCTATCTTCTTTAGCAAATCTCAAGGAATAGGTCCAATTATAGAAGAAGACCAAATCCATAAAAAAACGTATTACAGGGACTTTATATATAATTTTCCCTTTAAATACTTTGATCCAAAGTTTGTTTCAAGAGATTTATATATTTCCTTATATGTATTGCTGCAGTTGCTGGTAGGGACGATGAAAGATCTTCATAAGTTCTACCCTGAAAGCATACCCAATTTCCGATTTTCAGAATTGAAAAGATTACCTCTTGATAAGGTATTGCCCATTCGCCCCCCCCCCCGCACCCACCCTTAAATTTGACCCAAAATGGCTGTTTTTATTGATACTATGCTAACTGTTCGATGAAATGCCTCAAACAGGTGCTGGTATACTTTTGCAAGGCATTGCAAGGCCTTGGAGACACGTCGGAGATGAGTGATGAGTGGATATACAAATATAAACATGATATATATGAGTATGACAATGAAAAATGCAAAAAAGTTGATAAACTCGGTATGTAGTAATTTTTCTCGACGGTGTTCTTCAGTGTTGGTGATGACTATATATTGTTCTTACATTTTGACTTTGGCAGTTGAAATTGCTGTGGAAACTCTCAATGGATTGATTAAGATAGCGAGAGAGAAATTCGATATGACTGATGAAGATGATGAGAACAAGGAGTTTGGTTTGAAGGTGAAAACGTTTGGAAAGGTCTTGAAGGAATCTTATTCAGACAACGGATCCAGTTGTCCTTCTCCCGTGACACCGACTTCAGTACTTCCTGAGGTGAAGAATGGTTCACCAAAATCCTCATCATCTGCTTTGTTGCCTCTGAGGGTTCAAGCTGCGGAGAAACTGAACCCTGTCGATGTGAAGCAGCTCCCGCTAGATATGCTTCCCAAGGTTCGAGTCCATGTTCCTAGCTCTTTGAACCAAAAGAAGGCTACCAATGAGAAACAAAAGAAAGAAGTGAAGGGCAATTCTCCAGTTAGAAAAGCATCACTTGTTGACGAAACCGGAGATTTCAGCTTTCGAAATAATGCTGATAGTGATAAAACGAAGCTCTCACTAAATGCAGCACTGCCAATTTCACCACCAGCGATGCAACCTTCCAAGTTGAAAGATAAAGAATTGGTTGCTGAAAAATCACCACAACTACGACCACGACCACCATCGGCATCACCATTGCCTTCACCGCCAACATCTCCATTGCCATCAGCATCACCATTGCCTTCACTAGCATCATCAGCTGAAGTTTCATTGCCAACACCACCATCAGAGCGAGCAAAGATGTCGACAGATATGGACACAGACATAAAGTTACGTCCACCACCAGCAGAACCATCAGCTGAAGTTTTACCTCCAATCCAGCCATCAAAGCTTCCAAAAGATATCGGAGTAGATATAAGATCCTTAACACCACCAGCGCCACCATTCTTGCAGCCAAATGTAGTATCAGGAGGACCACCGGCACCACCAGCACCACCGTTGTTACTGCCAAATGTAGTCTCAGGAAAACCATTAGCACCACCTTTGTTGCAGCCAAATGTAGTATCAGGAGGACCACCATTTCCCCCACCCCTAACATCAAAACCAACTGTAGAAGCTGCACAAGCAACACCGGTAGCAGCAGCCGGAATACCATTGCCGCTTCCACTGTCACCCCCTCCTCTGGCCTCATCGAAGCCAATTGTAGTGGCTACAGGAGCACCCCTTCCGCCGCCACCTCCAATCCTGTTGAGGTCAAAAGTAGAGCCTAATGGAGCACCGCTTCCAGTTCCACCACCACCTCCACCCCCTGGAACAACATCAACGATGCCACAACCTCCTCCACCAGCTGCAGCAAAAGCCTTGAGCCCCAAGAAAGCAAATACTAAATTTAAGAGACAATGTCCGATGAGTAACCTATATCGGGTTCTTAGGGACAAAGTAGAAGGATGTCCCATGCAAAGCAAATCATCCAGTGAAAAAAATATAGGCTTTGGAAGCATCCCTAGCGGGAAACATGAGATATCTGATGCATTAGCAGAGATGACAAAGAGGTACATTATGAACCTGAACCTTATTTCCAATGATTTTCGTTTTTAAAGAACAAGGGGCATTAGTGAAATAAGTGACTAACCATATTCTTTATTTGACTTTGATTTCAGATCAGCTTGCTTCCAACAGATCGAAGAAGATGTCGAGAAATATGCAAAATCAATCACAGAGCTCAAAACTGCTATCAGCACATTCAGTACCAATGACATGACTAAGCTCCTCAAGTTCCACAAACATGTGGAATTGATTCTTGAAAACTTAACAGATGAAACTCAGGTTATTTGAGTTTGTTTATCGACCTTTATTGCACTATGTTGACTAGTCTATTACTTCATGAATCGTTGTTCAACCTCAAGATGTTTTGGATTGCAGGTTCTAGCAAGATTTGAAGGATTCCCCATTAAAAAGTTGGAAGCATTAAGGGCGGCGTCAGCCCTTTACTCGAAGTTAGAATCAATGATCACTGTGCTACAGAACTGGAATTTTGAGGTTCCTTTGGCTGAGCTTCTTGACAAGGTTGATCACTACTTCAACAAGGTACGATTTGGCCCAAACCATTTTAACCATTACCTTCTAAGGCATTTCTCCATAACAGACCAAAATGCATATAATTATGTACAGATTAAAGGGGAAATAGAGGCCTTGGAGCAAACCAAAGATGAAGAATCCAAGAAATTTATGAGCCACAACATTGAGTTCGACTTCCAAATTCTTGTACAAATCAAAGAAGCACTGGTTGATGTTTCCTCCAACTGCATGGAGTTAGCAATGAAGGTGAACTTAATTTCCAGTCTCAATCAATTTTGAAGCTTGTTATTATTCTTATGGAATACTAACATCGGATTTTCTTTTGCCTGCTTTTCAGGACGTAAAACCAGGAGAGAAGAGAAGTAAAGTTGACAGAAAATGAAGGGTCCAAAAGCAAAGCTGAAGCACAAAAGAAGGGGTGCGTTAAAATGCAATGGAGGGCTTTCCAACTGGCTTTCCAGGTTTATAGATTTGCCGGAGGACATGATGATCGTGCCGACATGCTGTCCCGAGAATTGGCTGAAAAAATCCGGACCGATCCTCAATAACCATTGCAGTAATGCCTATGCGAAGTTCATATCGAATTTAGTATATAAACTATATATAGAGCTTGAGAAACTTCAGGTATTGAAGCTTCCAAGTGCTTTGAAACCATATGTTACTTTGGCCAGCATTGTGATTTTGAAGATGAACCAGTTAAACTCCTCAGCTTGAGATTGTAATTTATGATGTCATTTTTTTCCTCATTGTAAGCAACTTTGGAATTAGCAATTGATTTTATTATTAAATTAATTAATTTTTATTTTATTTTTAAAGTGATAATTTTCTTATTTTAATTAATGCTCTATTATTGACTCAAAATATGTTTAAATAATATCAAACTACTTACCACTTAAACTAATTCCGTTAATATCAAGTAAATGTATTTTGATGTCGCACCATAATCTATTTCCGATTGAATCGTATGAGTATAATATGAAATTATTTTCTTTAAATATATGTTCAGATATGTTTAAAATTTTATCAGACTCAAAGCGGAGTTGACGTGTTTAAACTTGAAAAATAATAAATACATAAATAAATATGCTTCTGTAAAAAATATCAATTGATATTCAATACATAAAGTATAATCATTAGTTCAAGTCCATAAAAATATTAAAAAGTGATTGATATAACCGAGTGGGTGGAGTCGGATCTGAACAACACTGTACAAAAAACTCAATTCAAGGGAATAAAACAAAGAGAAAATAATTTCAGTGACAAACAATTTTAGATAATATATGATTTTGACTAATTTTTTTTGGATTTACGAAAATGATCAACAAAATCACAATGTGATCTCTAATTCGCATTGCGATCTCCAGTATCGCAAATTCGTGTTCCATTTCGCGTTGCGATAGTTGAAAATCGCATTGCGATTTTCCATTTCGCGTCGTGATATTTGAAAATCGCGTTGCGATAGTCTACAATTGTCGTTGCGATTTTCCAAATTCGTTGCGTTAAGAATTTTATCTAAAAGGATAGTATCCGCGCGGACGTGTCAAAGACACTTATTACCACGACCACGACCACGACCACGACCCGATCCGACCCGAGACGAGACGGGGATGAGAGCACACAATAATGTTTGAACAAAGATTTTTGCCGCCTGATAATCTAGTAAATAAAACTCACCAACTACCCTAGTTAGATGCTCACTTGAAATTCTTTTTTACATTTGATAATCAAATCTGATAGACTGCTAAATGTACTTATATGAACTCAGAGTCTATCGGTAATTATAAAGATTGTAAACCTAACATGAGTCATTTTATACTTTGAGTATTTATATTCCAAGTAAGATGAAAAAGACTATTTTTTTTCCTCTCCAACTATTCACCTTCCTCGTAAAAAAAATTCCTCATTTCCCAATAGAAAAATATCTATCAATAATTACTCTCTAACTAGTACTGAATTTTTATTTTAATTAAAAGAGGTGAACTGTTTATAACCCACCAATATATATATATATCTCTCTGAAAAATTATAACTTACAATACCTTTATCGTATTATTTATAACAATCGAACAAGAAAATACCAGTTTAGAAGCAGACAAAGTAAAAGGAAAGATTCTCGACAAGTGGCCGTAAATCATGTAGTCGGACATGTCCCTAAATATGCATATCCACAAGAACCTTCCATCACATCCAGTTTGTTCACCATAGCTGGAAAGTGACCTCATCTCACATACATGACCTATCCCATCATATTCCCATAAAAAAAACCTAACATGTAAAGTGTACAAAAGATGTACAACTAGACCCTGGAGATCAGGTGAATCTGAAACAAAAAAAATCATGGTTTGATCTCTGAATCATCATCATCATCATCATCGTCATCCCATGATATGTTGATGTCAGTAAAAGCGAGTGCATCAATATCATCTAAATTCCACAAATTTGCCATGTCCATGCCATTACTAGCAATAGGCACTTGCCATGTCTGTGAAACAGTTCCGCTCGGATCCTTCATCGGTTCTCCGGTGTAATCATCGATGCTCGGTGTCGATATTTACGGTGGAGTCGTGTTGAACGAATCCACACTCGGAAAAGGGAAAACCCCGTTGTAGCTGCAATCGATAGGATTCTGCGGCTGCTGCTGCCATTGAATTTGCACGACAGTGCTGGTTTTGCCGGCATTCGATGTCTTAAGCAGCTTGTTCTTGCGGCCTCCGCCAGCCGGAACGCTGCGGAGAGCGCCACCTTGGGTCCAATGCCTCTTACAAGCCTTGCAGAAATGCCTGGGCTGTGACTTGTTGTAATAACAGAACTTTGTATTGGCAGAATCACACCTCGGACACTTCAATATTGACTTCGGTTTTTGCTGGTGCTGTTGTTTCTTCATTATTGAAGCTTTTGGCTCCAACCATGGCCGTTAGACGATGATCTAAAGGGAATAAATTTGTAATAAAAACAATATATATATATATATATATATGAAAAATTACATGATTTTAATATTGTAAGAAAGCTATGGGTTGCTTTTGAAATTTGATAAACAATTAAAGATATATAGAAGCATGGGAAGAGGAGAAAGGATTCCCTTGAATGGGTGGGGTTGGGTGAAACGTGGAATTACCTGGATCGTTGACAGTGGAGTGATTGGATGTTTATAACTAATGTTAAATCCTGTAATTGTTTGATTTATAACTAAAATTTCAAATTTTAAAAAAATACAAGGTCAACCACAATAATAAAATTAAGGGACTAAATACACAACTTGTGTATAATACAATGACAAACACAACTTATGTATAATACAAGGGTTAAAACTTTCATTTTCCCCTATTATTCATTTAGGTATAAACTGTTACATCCCGCATGTTTGGCACTACAGCAGAAACTTCAGAATTTAGATATCAGCTGCAAGCAGTCAAACAATTAATTTATGAACCGAAAACAACATACTCGTACCCTCAGAAAACAATTAAAACAATATGATAACACCGTATCACCAACAGTCACTTTTCTCTTAAAAGAAGAGCTGAAATAGGAAAATATATATATTATTACTTTCTAAAGAAGCCCTCTTCTTCTCTTGTAGTCACTAACCGTCAAGGTAAGAGCGTGCCTCCTCCCATCGTTCTCGGGGACTCGGCATCCGACGGTTGCTTCTATCCTTTGCTTCCTGGCCATGAATCCTGCCACAGCACCCTCGTGACCACCAAATTTACGAAGCGCATCCAATGAGATTGGAAGCTCAAAGTTGTGCAGCATGTAAGATTCTGTCCCCTCATCAACGGGGGCACTTGTATCGATCAATTTCCCTGCACCAGCAGCTTCCTGCAAGGCAGCTGCTGTGGCTGCCCTGCCAGCCTCTGCTGCAGCAGAAGCACCTGCATCATTGCCATTTGTGCCACCATTAGCCGGCGCCACTGCATCTCCTCCAGGAGCCTTTGCATTATAGTAATTCCTTGATCTAGTCCACCTCCTGGAAAATGGATCATAGCCAGCCTCTCCTGCTTTTAAACCAGTGTTTACGGGTTTCAAACCTGATGCATTTTTGAAATTCTCAACTCTGTTCTTTCGGTTCATCTCAGCCAACCTAATAGCCTTGGCATCTTTCTCTTGTGACTGCCGGGAAGCCTCCAGTAGCTGCAGTCCCTTCTTAATCCTCTCAACCTCTGCCTCGTCATGCCTGCTTTGTGCAATTTCAAGGTTCCTTCTCAATCGGTCCTTCTCTGCTGCAACGTTCAACGGTCTAGATGAAGAGGATTTTTTCTCCTGCAACATCTGCTTTACAGTAGCTGCTGAGTAGACGAAAGTTTTGGCCTTCTGTAATGCTTCCTTCTTTTCCAATACATCTTGCTTGCTTGGCATCCGGCCCCCACTTCGCTCCACCTCCCTAATCAATTGTCTAAACTCCTCCTCTTGTGGTGGGGAGTCTGAAATCATAGCCATCTGCCACCTGGCAGCAGAACTTTCATTTCCCCAAACAACATTCAAGTACTTATATGTCATCTTGTTCTCTAATTTGTATGTCCGATTGGGATCTGTGGCATCAACATTTCTGACCATGCAGAGCCTGTAGATAGGGCCACTTTTCGACCTTCCAATACCAACTCTCACAAAACAACCCACAATCAACTCCTCAAAGAACGGCTCCATAAACCATTTTGCAAGTTTAGACCTTCGGATAGTAATTTCCTTAATATCATTGAATGTTGGTCCATCTGGCCCCCATGTGCCCCTCTCATCCTCACTATCACCCATTCCACCATCTCCTGTTGATCCTTCATCTTCACTGTTAGACCTACTTTCACTCTCACTCTGACTAGAGCTACTTAGACTTGATGCATTGAAGGGTTTCCGCTTGACTGGTGATGCTCCCCGGCCACCAGAACTGCCTTTAGATGCATCTCTCAACTTACGATGTGCCTCTGGGTCTTGCTGCTTCAGTCGTTTTGCTCTCAACTCATTCAGGGCATCATCCTTTGCAGCAGCTCTATCTGCAGATCTTGCTGATGACCGCACTCCGCGAGAAGAAGGAAGAGGTGGGGTCTCTCTCCGTGATCGGCTAGGCCTATCATTTTCCCGCTTCGATCTAATCTTTTCAGTAAATTTCTTATCACCTCTCTTATCTGCACGTTCCGAAAGAATCATTTCTCTCTCCAGTTCAGTTAATTGTGCAAGCTGTCGCCTGTCTTCCTCATTCTTGTAAAGATCATCACCAACATCAGATTCATCGCTGCTGTCACGTTCACGGCCAGAACCAGCATCACCGTAATCTCCTTCGTCCTGACTGCCCTGATCATCATCTCTTTCAGCAGGGTCCAGCCTCTTCTTCAATGGAACTTGCGACCCAGATGGTTTTCTACTTGCATATCCATGATCATCATCTGAATCATCATCCCTAGAGTCACTTCCCCCATCTGAATATGAACCCTCATGTCGTCTTCTTGACGGTGGATGAGAGTGTTGGTTTCTCCCTCCAGTACCTGTTCTTCCAGCTGCCTCAAGAAGCAAATTTTCTAAGTCTGCCATGATCACCTGCACACGCTTCTATGCAGCGAAAGTTTGTTTCACTTCTGAAACCAATTAAGCAGTTCTAGTAAACCAGATTGAAAATTCACTAAATATATATACACGTGCATGCATGGAGGCGTACACACACAAGCGCGCAAAGGGAATACCATAAGCCAGTTTGAACAATCATTAAATGCATATACAAAGCTAATCCCGTTACACGTCTACAACGGAATTATGAGGAGATACTCTATTAAAACTAGAGCTGGGTAAATGGGCTAAGGCCCGCGGGCTACCCGTTTAACCCGCGACCCGTGCGGGCTTCGGGCCTCAAAAATTAAAGATCGTTTAAATTGCGAGCTTTTTAGCACGGACCGTTAAACCCGCGGGTTTAATGGGTATAACCGCGGGCTACCGCGAAACCCGCTAAAGTCCGCTTAATTTAAAATTCATAAAATTTTAGATAAAATAAACTTAAAGAATTTTATAGAAAAAGAAAATAAATTACCTATAAATATGATGTTACTTATAACTATTGTAGTTCTTAAATTTATTAGGGCGTAATAATTTTACCGCTGTTTAATATTTTTTCATTTAAATATGCATCATTATCATTTTGATATTTAAAGATTTTTTTATTTAATTTTGACCTTTTTTTTTCATGAAGTATGTTATCTATTTTGTTCTTTAATTATAAAAAGTGACGTGATATTCTAATAATATATCACATGACACGTAATATTTTGATTAAAAATAAGAAAGAAAAGTAAAAGAAAAAATTGAAAACATACTTTTCAACTTTTAAAGATTTTTACAAAATAAATATATTTTAACAAATTAATGACTTATATTTTATCAATTTTAGTATAACTGTATCTTTCAAATTTACTCTTATACTGTAAGTATTTTATTTTATATTTTCATATTATGTTTTAGTCTTTCTCTAAAGTATCCATAAAATACAATTATTAGGACCAGTTGACAACTTTCTTGTTAGATTTGTATAATGTTTGATTTTGATGAATTTTTATGTTTGAATTTCTGCTTTCAGAATTCAGACACTTCTGTATCTTCATATTATATCCTTGAATAATCGTGTTTTATAAAAGTTTAATGTGGTTATTGTTTTATTTGTTTTTTAATTTGGTGATATAAGTAAATATTGTTTTTTTAATTTGAGTTTAAGTAATTATATCATTATATATATATATTAATGATTAAAAAAATTAAAAAAAATATTATTTTATAATCATTTCCGGCTATTTAAAATAAAAATTAAATATTATTTATTATTTTAACGGTGCTTCCTTCCTTTTCAAGTTGTTCGATCTTTAAAGTAAGTTAAAACATTATTTTTTATTGCATTTAAAGTATTTAAAATTATTTTTATTAAACGGGCAGCGAGTAAGCCCGTTTAACCCGCAGGTTAAATGAACGGGCCGGGACTTAAAATTCAAAACCGTTTATGAATACAGACTTTTTAGCCCGCCCCGTTTAAACCCGCATCATCAAAACCGCGAGCTAAATGGGCGGATAGCCCGTATACCCACCTCTAACTAAAACAGACACAAAGCAAGCAAGTAACCAGGATAGAAGGGTTTTCGTACACTCTATAAACATATATATGGTTTTACAGTAAAACAATTTCATTGAAATATACTAACAACTATAGGGGTGTACTTTTGAAACCTCAAGTCCTTAACTTGCTCATCTAGCTTCCTTCTTCAGCTCTTAATCTTTTACCATTATCAATGGTGAATCACATAATAAATTAACAAATATCATAGCAGTATAATAATAAAGCAACGATTCCCTAAAATCACTTACTACGATCTGAAATCTAACCTAGATAAACTGAAAAAAATCATAATTGTTCTTATTCTCTGCATGCAACACCGATTATTTTTAAAAATTGGGGGGAAAATCGGATACCACGAATTTAAAAACAAAACAAAAAAAGTGAAAGAAAGAGAGATGATACCGGCGCCGACGAAGCGGCACCGCCTTAACTTTGGAGATATGAATTTACCCTGGAAACAAAGAGGATATAAGAATTGAGAGAAACAAATACTAACCTTGATTTCGCGAAAAGCTTATCGTTTTCTTCGCGAATTTTTTGATCTGAGTCTCAAATCAGAGAGAAATCAAAGGGTAAGTAGGGGAAGAAGGGTTGAGAACAAGATGGGTTGGATTTGGGATTTTAGTTATCGACCAATTTATTATAGGGCATTGGTTTGTATTGCTTTTTGAATCCAATTATGAACTCTACTTTCGGCCCATTTAGGAGAAAATCATTGTATTGTATTAAATATTTAAAGGGAAAACTACACATTTGATACTTAAACTATTAATTTTAATCTGTTTTAGTACTTATACTTT